TAAGAATTTCCCTGACCTGGGTATGGCGGCACAAGTCTTTAGTTCTAGCAGTCAGGAGGCATAGGCAAGTAGATTTCCATGAGTGAGTTTGAGGCTCATTGGTCTGCATAGCAAGTTCCAGGCTAGCTAGGACAACATAGTAAGACCTTGTCTCAATAATAATAATCACCTGGAAAAGAAATCCAAAGCAATTAACCTAATGAAAAAATATGTATATTATTTAAATGTATTTTGACCATCATAAAGCATTTTATGTCCTTTTATTTTTGTTACTATAAAATTAATTAAAATTTAATCTATTTTTATAATCTTATTTGGAAGAAAATCCTTATGAAAATCTCTATATCTGGGGATGGTGAACTGGCTCAGAACTTCTATGATGACATGGAAGGCAGAGACAGGATTGCAGAGAAATTCTCAGACCAGCTAGACTATAACAGGTTATTTTTCATTAGCTTAATTAAAAAAATAAATGGCATGTTTTTATTTGCAGTGTTTGAAAGAAGAGTCCATTTACAACAGGAAGAGGGCTCCAGGATTGCAATATCGTATTGTGATAGGGGAGTTTTTAAAGAAACTTACCTTTTGCCTTTGGAAATTTCATTCCTTTGCTCTGCTCAGCGATCACATCAGCTTCCATGTAGGTCTCAGCTTATTTGAAAATCTTTTCTAACTCTTTCTTGATGTGTGAAGTTTTTCTTTGTTGTTTGTGTGGGCTAGAGTCTCACTCTGCAGCCAAGTCTGGCCTGGAATTTTCTATGCACCCCAGGATGGCCTGGAACTCATGATCATTCTCCTGCCGTAGCCTCCCAAAAGATAAGATCATGGGTATGAACCACCACACTATCTATTTCAAATAACATCATACATCTGCATTGTTAATTGCTATGTCTACATGCTCAGCAGAAGCAGAGAGCCCTGCTTAATGTCCAAGGCATCTATGGGTTTTTCTAGGGTGCTACTTAATATATCTCATTTAATACTCATATCAAGCAGAGAATGAGGAGTGGTCATGTTTGCCATGCCAGGGAAGAAATAAGGTGGAATGATTTTAAACAGCTTCTATCAAATGTTTCTGGTAGAAAACAATGGAGCATACATTCAAAGCTTTCTCTTTTTTTGTGCCAAAATCTGTTTTTTGTGTGTGTGTGTGTGTTGAGGTGCCTTCCTCATATAGTACATCCATTAATTTCTCCATCTTGCTAACAGCAAGGACTCCATCCTTAGCGGGTCCGCCTTCTAGACACATGTCATATGTCAATTCTACATGGAAATAATAAGCCCCCATTTACAATAATTTTTCCATTTTCTTTCATATGTAATCGTGTATATGTTAATACTTAGAAATAGTTATTTTTGCTTTAAAGATAAAAGGATAAGAAACTATTTAAATGACCAATGAAAGCTTTCAGAAAAGCTTGCCATATATTGGAGTTAGTCAGGAATGTGAGTTTCTCATGTTTTCCAAGTTTAATTTCTATTTAAGGAATTTTATTCTGTGCAGTTGATAACAGTTTATGCAGCTTTGTGGTCTCTTAAATAATAATGCTCATTTTCTCAGACCATTTAAGTCTTCACTGAGAGGAAAAATCTTCAAAAAGTATGTAGAGTTTGAACTAAATTTAAACATGTTTAAGAATGTGTCTGTTTGATAAGTTGCTTTACATTTGGCATTATTTCAAAAGCAATACAGTTTTAAAATATTAAAATGATTTTCTCAGTTTGAAAATAATTTCTAGTCACATCTTACTCTTGGAAAGGAAAGAATTAAAAATAAGCCTTTACTGATCATATATTCAGGTAACATGGGATTCCTGACAACTTAGAGGCAACTTCATAAATATAATCCATCTATTCTTTATTGTCTCGTTTATTGCTAAATTCCAAAACAACTGAAAATGCTTTTAGTTTGACTAATATAGCTTTAAGTTCTTTACAAGCTCTGCTAGAGATCATTAATGTATCTATGGAATAAGCAAGAGATTTGTAATAGTACACTGAAAGAAAAAAAAATGCTATGTTGATTCTTCTGTCAGCCACGAGGTCTTCATTGCTCATGATTAAAGTGACAGCTGTCAGTCTTTCAAGGCCTGATGGAATATGCATGGTAATGAAGGAGATAAGGCATCAGTTTAAACAGAGGGTTAAGATACGTACTTCAGTTATGAGAGTGCTTACTTAGTATGCATGGAAGCCCTCGGTTCAGTCCCTAGAACCACACAAAACCAGGTTTATTGACTTCTGCTTGTAATTCCAGCAGTGAGAATGTGGAGGTAGGGGAGTCAGATGTTCAAGATCACCAAGTCCAAGACTAGCCCGAGGTACATGAAACATTGTCTCTAAAGAACAACAGCAATAAAAATAACAGCAAAACACCACAAACACATACACAGAACATCTCAGCATAATATAATGTAATGGGCAAGAGAAGGTTTAAATAAATAAATACTGCCCTGGGCAGGAATGGTCAGAGGAATTGTTACCAAGGAGGTGCTATTTTAAAGGAGGCTTCTAAGTGGGACAGGGTCTTGTTCCTTGGGAAGTAGGTAACACAGCAGTTAAGTTGTATAGAAATATTTAAAGTCAAGCTGCAGAAGAGGCTTAGGGAAGACAGGGAAACACATGGGTCTGGAGACTTGCAGCAAGAGATTGGAAAACTGTGGGATCCAGTTACGAGTTCTTACTCGTAAGATTAGACGGTGACAATCTTCACTTGTAGGAAGCCATCAGAGCTGAATAACTAGATTTGGCACTTTCAGGATTGGTTTCAGAGTCTAAAGAAAGGTCAAGGTTGCAGTGGGTGAGGAAGGATGTAATAAAAACCAGGCAGGGGTTAAAAATATTCAGGGGATAACTCCCAACTACAGCTATTTCACTTTACAACATGTCCTACTGTGTTTGTGATGTGAAATGAGATTAAAACAATGAGATCCAGGGATGTATTGCAAAGATGAATGAACGGTTCAAGGTCTAGATGTACACGAGAAATGCGCACAAAGTGTGAAGTAAAGCTTTAAAAAAAAAAGAAAAGAAAAAAAATTGATGGAAACATCAGCATAATTAAAATTCTAAAATGAAAGCTTTAAAGCTCACCCTGTAGCTCAGACTAACTTGGAAAGTGTGGTAGTACTCCTGCCTCAGACCCCAAGTGCTGGGATTATAGGCCTGAACCATCAAGCCCAGCTGGTGTTTTGTTTTGCATCAGCTCACCACGCTTCTTTTTACTTGAATTTTTGGGATTTCCATACAAGACAGTTTGATGGTATTTAGATCCCATCCCTCTCCACGCCTCCTTCCACTGCTGTCCACATAATTTAATATACTCTTATCATTGTAATATGGCCTACAGAGTCTGATGTGTGTCCCCAGATGTCCTCAAGTCTGAGGGATCATTGTGGAAGAGGAGGAAGAAAGATTTTAAGAACAGAAGGAGATAGAGGACTAAAGGAAACAGAGTCTTCTAGACAGCTGGTCATTTACTCACAACAATGGTAACAGTATGCACAAGTCCTATGCAAGCTCAAAGCAGGCAAAATCCCAGCATGGACATGGGGAAGTGGCTAAAAAATCCCAACCCAACCTAAGGAACTTTTGGCAATTGATGGCTGCTGGGATGAGGGAAAGACAATGTCTTTTAAGTACAGGACACTTGGTGGGCCCAGTGGATAGACACATACTGAAGGACATTTGAGGTCAATACTCTTTTGTCTTTCCCAGATCACTGTGTTTTAACTACTCTGCACTTTTATGGGTTGTAAGATAGAACCGTTTAAGTCATGTAGACAGGTGTTCCTTTCTTGTTTTGAAGATCTGTCTGCCTTTTCTTGGGGAGCCACAGTGTTTTACTGTTGGTCACATTGCCTATGATAAAACAGCACTCATCCATGCTATGCCCTAGTAACAGCCAACCACTTTTATCCCTTGAGAAGTTAAACCAAGAGTGCATTGCTCATTTCTACACATTCTTCATGCTTCATGAAAAGCTTGATAGTGTGTGCATTTTAAGAAGAATAGCAATATTTTCAGAAATTCAGTTCTTGGGGGAAATGGAAATTCGAGCAATACAGCCTCTTCTCCTAGGAACCATCACATCCTAAAAGTTGTCGTGTGTCCTTTCTTGTGATTGTCAGTAAAGATTACCTGTAGGTAAATGGAAGAAGAAGCCAGGTTGAAATAGGAATCTGTGAGGCTCCCTGTTGCCTTTTGCTCATCCGCATGGCTGTGTCCAAAGGAGGTGACCTGAATTTAATCCTTTGATGTTGCATACCACAAATTCCCAGCAGGTCTAAAATGGGGGAGGACTGCGTCTAAAGCTTTGTTCTAATATATATAATTTTGGAAGTGCTGACTGATCCTGTCACAGGAACAGAAACGGCTCTACCTATGTTCCTGATTTCAATACTCATAAACATCAGCAGGGTTAGTATAGTGGGATGCAATGACTTTTATTTCTCTTGGGTGGTCAGAACACAGCATGTGTGATATTTTTACAAATAATGAGTCAAAAAGCACACATTTCCAGAGCATTCTGTTTTCATCATGTTGGTGTCAATGGAAACAGTTATGCTTCCTGAAGTCTTATTGAGATGGCCTTTTGGGTTATGTTGGGCCACTTTCCCAAGGATACCGCATGCTGCCTTGCCCCTTATTCCTGAGGAACTAAATAGGCTTGGACTGACCTGCTTTGGAAAATGTACTTTCTCTAAGAATGGCAGAAGTAAAAACATCAGAGTAGGATGCTTTCCAGAAATAACAGTGCAGAATCTCATCCTGTTGTGTAAACTCCCTTGATACTTTGTTCTCAGTGTGTTTGGTAGAGATTGTATTTTTAAAGGCCTTCTACTCTGGAAAATATTATTTTGCATTAGATTCCTTTTAAAGCTAAAGGAGGAAAATAAGTCTTTATTTTTCACATATAGATAAAATCAGCATTAATATTACCTATGGGAAGTTTGTGAATGATGTCAATTCTGAACTTAATAAATTTTCTTTCTCCCCAGGAATTTCTTCAGATTGCACATGGTGATGTGAAGATGGAATTTAATGACAATAATCAGTCAGTGCTTTGCTTGGAGTCAGTTCAATACTCTGGAGACCAGGTAAAAATGCTAATTTTTTAAAGAGTGTATATTACCTCTAAAATGGAATCATTTTCATGAAGCTGGACCTATACATTTTGTGAAGATATTGTATTTTCTATCAAATTTTTGTATGTTTCATTTGGAAACAGGGATTTCAATTCTCTGTATAGAGCAGAGTATTTTACTAAGGCATACATTCATGTATAAATTAATTAGTTTAGTAAAATTATAGTAGTGAAAATCTAAATTTAATTATGTATTTATTCTTTCATAATTTCATATATATTACATAATGTTCCTTGAACACATTTCCCCTCATTATCCTCTCCTATCCCTCCTCCTCCTCTTACTAGGCTCTACTTTTTCTGCCCACAATTCCCCCTCCTACCTTCATGTCTTTTTGCATGTATGTGTCCCACCACTTTTAATTAGGGCCTGGGTGCGTATGGGTCAAGTGTTATTTACTTGAACAAGGGCCGCATACCAGAGTACACCACTGAGAAACATGTCTCCCCCTCCCCCAGCAATTATGAACTGCCCATGGCTCCTTAGGGAGGAGTGAGGCATGATGAACCCCTCCCCCAATTCATGAGGGAATGTTGATGGGTCCAGGCTTGTTCAGGTAGCTGCTGCTACTGTGAGTACTTGAATGCAAAAGGTACATCCCATCCAGAAGATAGTTTTTCAACAAACCTTTCTATCTGCTAGCTTTAACAGTCTTTCTTCTCTCTTTCTGCAATGTTCCTTGAACCTTGATGGTGGTTATAACAGTTATCCCATTTAGGGATAAGCACTCAATAGTCATTTATTCTCAGCACTTTGGCCAATTATGAGTCTCTGCATTCACTGCCACTCATTGCAAACAGAGGTTTCTCTGCCAAGGCCTAACTTAATGGTCTCATTTTTTAAAACAAATCCACCTGAATCTGCCTCCTGAATGCTGGGATTAAAAGTGTGTGCCACTAAGCCCAGCTAGCAACTTTAATAATTTTTGTTAATACTTTCTTTAATCTCTATATTTTGCATTATTATATACGGAATGTTTTACATAAATACTTCTAATGACAAACACCTTAAAGGAATATTTTTCTCCTCTTTGTATTTTTAGTTTTCTTTTCATTATCTACACATCTTTTAACATACTTCCTAGATTTTTGCCTTTAAAAATCATGTTAAAATTATAATTATTCATTGCTTTAGAGATAGATCAGTGGTTAGGAGCATTTGATGTTCTTCCAAAGGACCTGAGTACAGCTCCCAGCACTCAGTGGCACAATAACTATATATGATTCTAGCTCCAGAGGATCTGCTGCCTTCTTCTGTGCTGGCAGGTGTTCACATACATGTGGCATGCACACAAAGGCACACATAAATAAAAATTAAATAAATCTTTAAAGTTATAATTTTCCTTCTACCCCTTCCCCCATTTCTTGGTTTACAGGGGTAATGTTTTTCTAACATTTGGAGAAAGCATTATCATTTGTGTGAAATTTTCCCCTTCTTATATATTCTCTATTTCTCTGGGTTGCTTAAGTTCTTTGACTTACTTTGTTTTGCATTTTCTCCTGGTGGCGTACTCCCAGTGATGAACTCTGACTGTCCAACCACATATTTGAATGAGGCAATAATACTTGATTGGAATTTGTGTGCACAAATAAGCTTCCCATTCAATCACTGAGTGACAGCTGGCTTCTTGTCATGAGTGAGGCACTTGAATTTCTAAATCTGTGGTTATTTTTGTCTGTGGCTGTTATTTACTCCAGGGAGGACTCCGAATCTCTTGTTTGGGACTATAAATACTCTTGGGCTTAGCTAAAGTGTCATGGTTCCTCATTAATTTCTGCTACCACAGATGTCCTTATGTTGTAGACTGAGATAGCTGTGGTTTAGGTTACCCACAGATATTTCTCCCTTCTTTAGAAGGGTCCTTAATATGGTATATAGAACCTCAGTAATATCTCTAACCCTTCCTTCTCTTATAGTGTGTCATACTCTTTGTAGCTCTTGGCTCAATCCTACCTTGAACAATGCCTGGATATTCCAATATCTAAACCTTTCTTGAATCTGGTACAAGTGTATGCTTGTCAATTTTTTAAAAATATTTTATTATTTTTAGTTTATGTATATGAGTGTATTTCCTGTATGTATGTAAATGCACCCACATCATGCAATACCTGTGGAAGTCAGAAGAGGTTGTTAAATTCCCCTGGAACTGGAGTTACAGACAGTTGTTAGCCACCATGTGGGTGCTGGGAATCAACCCCAGGTCATCTGCAAGAGCAGTCAGTGCTCTTAACCACTGAGACATCTCTCCAGCTCCACTTATCAATTTTTAATAACTACCTCATGTATACTTTAAGCTCATCTGTCTTTTATTTGGCTAAGTCAAATACCATGGCTCCACTTTCTTAACGCTTTCACATATTTTGGTTTGAAGTTGTTAAGACAAATAGTATTCTCTTAATATAATCATATCTATAGCCTCATTCCAGAGTATGTGAATACTATCTTATTTAGTGAAGGAATTTCAGCAGATTAGATGAAGGATTTTGAGATGACAGTATACTGGATTACCCAGACGGGTACTAAATGTCATCACAAATGTCCACACAGAGAGATTAGATACACACAGAAGAGAACTTCACCTAAAGTTGGAGTCAGAGTGTAGAGACACTCTGGTAGGGAGACAAGTCAGGGAATACCAAGAAACCTAGGGGTAACCAGAGAGGAGACTGGGCAATGAATGAACTCTTGCCTAGAGCTTCCAGACAGAACACAGTCTACTAAAAAATTAATCATATTCTGGTTAAACAGATGCTACACTCTTAGTCCCCACAACTGTAATTGTATTATATTCATTCCTGCCTTTTTCAGTATGAAGTTTATGGAATTTTTTATGGGAGCTACAGGGAAAAAAACACATAATTTGTTTTAGAATATCTTTTCCTCTTTTATGTTTCAGCAATATACCCGGTTATCCTAAGCATGATGATTAGTTTTAATTGTCAACACTACTTAGAATCACTAGGGAATAGACTTACAGTGAGAGATTTTCCATATCAGGATGGCATTTGCACGTGTGTGTGGGTAGTCTTGATTGCACAAATGGTTGTAAGAAGACTAGCCCTCTGTGGGCAGCATCAGCCCCTGAGTTTGGGTCCTGGACTCTATAAGAGTAGAGAAAAATAGCTAAGTAATAGAAAAGCCTACATGCATTTATTTCTCTCCAATCTTTGTTGTGTATATGAAGTGATGTGACTAACTAGTTAAAGTTGCTGCTGCCCTACTCTTCCTGCCATGATGGACTATAATCTCTAACTACGAGGTAAAACAAACCCCTTCTCTCTTAAGTTGCTTTGCGTTAGGGTATTTTAGCAGAAAAACAGAAATGAAACTAGGATAGTCACCTTCTTAAAATTGGAATTCTTTCATTTTTAAATTTAGAATAGTTTTTAAAGTTTCTCAGACATTTTTCATACTTTAATGACAGTGATTATGTCTACTTTCAGTAGTATGGATACTTTACTGGGTAAATAACCTTGATGCTGCCTCAATTTATTCTTCCTGTTTTTCATTATACTATCATTGGTCAAACTGATCTTCCACTTTCCTTCTTTCTTTTCCTTTTCCGATAATCTATTAACCACCTGCTAAGTATTGGACATTGTGATAAGCTTTGAAATACACAAGCCAATAAAGCAGCCCTCCTCCCACTCTCTGGGATCAGCATCTTTTTGATGCAGAAGAACAAAAAAAAACCCCAAAAACAAACAAAAAAAACATGGCTCTTGCAAAATATAACACACACAAAAAAACAGAATTAAATGGACGAATAAGCTATAATTCTGTGGGTACATAATTATGTGTTGTGCAGAAGACTGTGGACTTAAGAGAACATGTGAGTGAACAGCTCTGGAAGATGCACATGTATTAAGCAGAGTCTAAAGGGCTGCACTGGGGTTCTTTATAGAACTATATAGCTCTATGTTAAACAGATTGTCTTTCTGGAAATGCATTTTTTCATTTTACGATGATGATAATCTCTTCTTTCTGGAAATTATGTTCTTATTTTACTTGAATGTATCTGTGACCCTCTTTCTTGGCATTCATGTTCTAGTTATTTCTCAAGAAAAGCTCTATATAAAACAAATAGTTTATGAATGTTCAGACATTGGGATTTCCAGAACTTGTGCAAGACAGAGTTGAACGAAGGGCTAGAAACAGAGTTTGAAGCACTTTAAGAGAAGTTAAAGTCATTTACTTATGATTATATTTGAACTCTAGAGGACTCCATGAGCTCCTTTACTTAAAGGAAAGAAGAGATATAACTTTTGGGTAATCTAAACCATAATGATTCCAAACTGTTACATAAAAGTCATGCTGCGAATAACTGACCTGGAATTACAATACCCTAGTTAAATGGGGAAAAGAGGCTTTATAGAAAGGAACTGGCTCTGAAGAGGATACAATTATGTTAAAAGCACAAAGTTTTAGAAAGACAAGATATTTAGTATGTCTGGAACATAGACTAAAGGTAAGGGAAATAAACAACAAAATTTAAAATATATATATTAAGCTGGGCGTGGTGGCGCACGCTTGTAGTCCCAGCATTTGGGAGGCAAAGGCAGGCGGATCTCTATGAGTACAAGGCCAGCCTGGTCTACATAGTGAGTTCCAGGACAGCTGGGGCTACAGGGAGACCCTGCTTCAAAAAGACTCTATCTATCTATCTATCAAGACTCTATCTATCTATCTATCTATCTATCTATCTATCTATCTATCTATCTATCATCTATCTATCTATAGATAGATGCATATATATACAAATATATAGTGTGTTAAAAGAGTTTAGACAGATTATTTTGGAAACGGAAGAAAATGGAAGCTTTAATTAGAAAAATGACATGGATCTACTTATCTTTTAGGAAAGAAACTGGCAGTGTTTTGGTTATTTCACCACTGAAGAAAATCTGGGAAGTTAGAGTAAAACCTCCTGCAGGAGGCCAGGGAGGTATGGATAACAGCAACCAGAAAAACAGGGGTATCAGGACAAAGGAAAGACAATAGCCCAGGAGATAATAGGATTTTGTACTTTTAAGTGGAAGCAAGAAGTATGATGGCAGCAGTCAGATTGTGCAGTTGGACGTCAGGGAGCAGGAGGAAGCAGAACGTGGCTAGGCAGAGGACAAGGTGCCTAAGGTCAGATACCTAAGGAAAGATAACAAATTGTTTCCAAAAGAAGAGGAATGGAGAAAAAGGTTGTTGATGCAGGGATTTTCTGAGAAGATGCACAGCCGGGGAAATGGAATGGCCATGGATCAACTGGGAAGGGTATGCTATTGTGAGTATATAGGGTTTAGTGTGATATGAGTCCTGAGGAACCAGTCGGTGGAATCCTCTAGCTAACTTCCCTCCTCTTTCTTTCCTTAAATACCCATTCCCACATCTATATACCAATCTTCCTGTCTTGATCAGTCAACTGCTGGGTCTGGGGATGTAACTCGGTGGTAGAGTGCTTGCCTACTATACACCATGCTCTGAGTTTAATCCCTGGGACCATAGGCAGTTAGCAAAATAAATAAAATAAAACATACTCAAGACTCTAGTTTTAGAACAGTCATCCTGGTTCACATCCATTTTTCAAAATTCTGTTTATCAGTGTCCTTCACTATTTGAGCATTTCTTGAACATTTTTAACTGAGAGGAAAGGGAGTAGGAGAAAAATAAATTTTGCATTTTCTTAGGTGTCTACTGTAGTGCAGTGTTTTAGCTCAGATATTTGCACACCTTTTGAATACATGAGATAGAATCAGTTTTATTTTATCAAAAGCTTCTAAACTAATTGAACTATGAATTAGAGACAAAAATGACAATCAAGAGAAACAGTTCCCCAATCTAATTAACTTGAAAATTTGTGAACTAGAATAAAATCATTTTGTTATTCTAACTCAAAGTTTAGACCTGACTCTATGGACATGGGATCTAACACTCAGGAAAGTAACATGTTGCCTATTGTTAACCCTTAAGATGCTCTAGATTGGTAATTAGATCTCAGTGTCCGTAGCCCCATTGTTTCAAGCTTAGAACATGAGGGTCTTTAAGGCCAGTGGTATCACAGTACTAACTCAACTTCCTCAGCCTTGTTTCTGGCAGGCTTGTCATCATTGGAAATATCTTCTGACAGAGAATTTCCCTACATGGTCCCAAATACTCTAATTTGAACCCTGATCATCTCACAGGGATGGATATAATTTTCACATATACTTTAATTTGTAATTGCCTGAGTTTTAAGAGCCTATAATTCATTCTTATTTGAATTAATGTCATGCTATTATAAGGATTTGGGCATCAACATCCTTCAGGAGATTTTTAAATCAAGGAGGCTAAAGGAGAAGATAAGTTTGATAGGGTGACCTGCCCACACTGCTTAGCCTGTAGCCTACAGCATATTCTAAACTGCCTGCTCAGGGAAGCCTCAATTAATTTCAAAGTTGTTCCTATGTAAGTGCCTGATTAGTTTCTGGTTCTTGGCTGTGGTTGCCTGTTGTGACTCCATGTGGATATACTGTTGGTTTCTTATGATATCTTAATTTACTGTCCTTGTTTGAACTCGTTTCTACTCTGCCTTCTAAGCATCTCTAGTGTTTAAGAAGACTTAGTCATCCACTAGCTACAGGGATGACTTGACTAGATGGAGTGTGCAGATAATGAGGGCAAGTGGGAACTTTCAATATCTCATGAATGATCGAAGACAAACTGGTTATGAGGTCTTCAATACAGCCATGACCTCATAAAGATTTTCCTTTGAGGAGTGTCACATTGGCCTCCAACAGCTTCCTTCAAGTTCATCCTTCACTACTTTACTCTCCACAAGACCAGCAGTACCTGTTGCTTCTTCCTACCTTCTGACTTTTTCCATTCTTCTGCATTTTATTAGTGAATTTTATTCTACCCCGATTTTAATATTTTAATTATACAAGTCCATTATGTTCTCCTCTCCATATTTATTTTTATTGCTTATTTGATCATTTCCTGTTTTTATGACCTTTAAATGACATGCATTTTATGAAACTTCTGTCTGCCTACTTGTGTGTCTGAGAAAAGCTCATACTTTGTAGCTTCTGCCTAACCTGCAGCTCAGCTAGTCCATTTTCTACAGTCTGCTCTTCCCTGTGTTTTTATGGCTCTAACACTGCATATCAGGGCCGCTTGCATACATGCATTCTGAGCCACTTCTGTCCTGTTCTCTCTTCCTTCCCAGCTCAGCTTTTATTCTAACCTGGTTTTAATATTTTGATTATATAAGTCCATTATGTTCTTCTCTCCATATTTATTTCTTTTGCTTATTTGATCATTTCCTGTTTTTATGACCTTTAAATGACAGCACCCAGACGACATGCTTTATATATTGTCAAAACATCCAGAGTTGTCAGACTGGGTGCTTGCTCTTGGCATGCTGCTCTGATTCCTCAGCATAAAAATTTGCCTTTGTACTCTGATTTTAACTCTTTCCCTAGCACCTGATTATGTAGTGTTTCTGTGTCTACTTTCTTTCTTTTTTTGCTTCCTTTGTCCCCTTTTAAAGAATCCTACTCAATTTTCCATTTCCTCACCCATTTGTTTGTCAATGTCCTGAGCTACAGTGTAAGCACTTCTTGTGTCCTGGCTGTTATCCAATCCTTTGGGATCCAGGTAGACAGGGAAGATCCCAGACATATGTTATTTTACATGGCCTAGGAAAATCTAATTAAGGGTTAAAGTAACTGATGTGAAAAAAGGACATATGCCACTGACTGAAAGAGATGACTCTTTTCATGTGCTCTCAAGGGAGAAACAAAGCCTGAATGCATAACATGATATGATTTTATATGTACAGTTAAATTTTCCTAGATATCTAAGTGATGTGTTAAAAGGAATGAAATTAAGAAGAAGAGCAGAGGAGAATTTCATCACTGTGAATGAATCACCCCAAATGCCAAATTATGAGACTTAGGAACATAACATCTAATAAGTTAAAGTTTCAAGGTATGTGATAAAGAACAGTCCTGGAATAGTCATGATACTTAAGTTGGTAATACTCGCCTCTCCTACTGTTTAGTGTTTTTCTTTTGTTGGAATACATTTAATTGAAAATAGAAAAGAAAAATTAATAACTGTGCTACACATAGATGTCCGTTGCTGTGAATACTTAGATTCACAATGGGTTTTACAAAAACAGCCATTTTATGGGCTGGAGAGATGGCTCAGAGTGAAGAAATTAAATTGCTCATACAGAGGATCCAAGTTCATTTCCCCACAGCCACATCCACAGAATCACAACTGCTTGTAACTTCAGGGAATTCAATGCACTCCTCTGGACATTGTGGGTACCTGTACTCACTCACACATGCACATACCCTCACAGAGACATAACTATATATATATATATAATTTTTTTAAAGATAGCCATTTTGTAAAATTGAAATAGTACAGTACTTAGAGTTTGTTTTTTTTTCTTGATTTTATTTAACTATAGTTCACATTTTGTACTATTTTAAAATATTAATTTTAAGGATTTATTATTTTCTTTTTATTTGTGTGTGTGCATGTTTGTGTGTTTGTGTGTGTGTGTGTATGTGTGCCTACTTGTGTGTGGATGCCTGCAGAAGCCAGAAGAGGGGATTGGACCCTCTAGAGCTGGAATTATAGGTGATGCTGAGCTGCCTGATGTGAGTACTATGAACTAAACTCAGGTCTACTGGAAAAGTAAGACGTGCTCTCAACCACTGAGCCATCTCTCAAGTCCTGAAATATTCATTTTAAGTGGCTAAGTGGTGATATAAACATCAGTGTATTCCATTCCTAGTTTTATGCAGTTATAAAGAACTCTGGGGAAAATGGTGATTTATTTCACTGAGTTTCTTACAAAACAGTCCTTGATAAAATGTGACTGAAAATCACATCCCATCTGCAGGCCTTTTCAGGAGGTGCTTGGCACTCTCAATGAACTATATCCCTTATGATAGTACGTTGGACTCCCATAATATACCAATATTAATGCTTAACTTTCAGCACACCAGAAAGACATTTCCCTATCAAATGAGATAGGGAACTTATGAGAACCTATCAAAACAGTCCTCCTCATCACATCTAAAATCATGAATTATCCCTTTATTCCACATTATTTTTCATCTTAATGTTTTTTGTCCTCATTTTTTTCCATTGTTGAAAGTTTCATGTAATGTATTTTTATTAGTCACCCCCAACTCCTCCCAGGTCTACCTACCTTTCCCTTCCCACACAACTTTGTGTCCTCTTTCTTTTCTTTTTCAGAAACCCATCAGATCCTACTTGTGCTGCTCAAATATGATCTTAGGTGTGTGGCCATCCATTGGAGCATGGTTGTCCTACCAGCAGTGGCACACTTAAAGCAAACTAAAAGTCCCTCTCCCAGAAGCTATCAATTGCCAATAGCTGCTTAGCTATGGGTAAGACATTGTGCACACCTCTCCTCTTATGTGATAGAATACTGTTCAATTGTTAAGAAAAATAGAATCATAAAGTTTGCAGGTGAATGGATGGAGATGGAAACAAATAATTTGAATATTTAAAGGTATATACCATGCTATATTTGTTTATCCATTTCCACCTCCTAAAATCTGAGAGCAATTAAACAAACGTTTTGTAACATGCTTTATTCTAGTGCCTTATAAACACCTTAACAGCCAGTAGCATGTGTCCAAAAAATATTTGTCCAAAGAATAAATAAATAAAAAGAAAAATATGATTTTCAGTAAACATAAATAAGTAGGGTTCCAGAAATCTCTTATAATTTATATGCTAAAATGAGGTATGATAACATATATTTTAATAAGGACTAGCCTACTATAAATATTAATTATAAAATACCAAAATATTGGGGAATTTTATACTGTATTTCAATGTTCACTTAGTGTTCAGTTATTTCTTCTTTGCATGATGCATCCTACTTCTTTGTCCCCACATCATCAAGACTTCTGCTCCTGTAAAGCTCTTTGCAAGAACTCACATGCATTAAGTGTGCTGAAATCTTCCATCATGTTGTCATTTTCCCTCTTTTATGTTATTCTCTAGGATGCTCTTATAATTTGTGAGACTATAGAATATAAATATGTGGTGTTAAGTAAAGATTTTCTTTTTGAGTGAATTCACCTACACTGTTGCCATAGCTTTCAGTTGGTTATTATAATTTTTGCCCTTTATACACATATGGTGATTTTTTTG